TATAATAAAAGTTTTTCAATTTATCTAGCCTAAAAGTTAGAGACTAAAGTTTTTGAGAAGGCTGGAGGTTTGTTTTTGGAGCTGTAGGTTATGTACTGGTGAAAGGTTTGTCAGTGTGCGCATTTTGAGAATGGTGAAGGGTCAAGACTGTAGGTTATGTACAGGAAAAAAATTTTCAATGTACGGGTTATGAGAAAGCTGGAAGTTTGGGACTGTGGGTTATATATTGGTAAAAGGCTTGTCAGTATGCAGGTTTTGAGAAAGCTAAAGGTTTGGGACTGTACGTTATATACTGGTGAAAGGTTTGTCAATGTGCAGGTTATGAGTAGGCTGAAAGTTTGAGGCTATAGGTTTTGTAATAGTGAAAGGTTTTGCAGTGTACAGGTTATGCTAAAGCTGAATGTTTGGGCCTGTAGGTTATATACTGGTGAAAGGTTTGTCAATTTGCAGGTTATGAGAAAGCTAGAAGTTTGGGACTGTAGGTTAGGTACTGGTGAAAGGTTTATCAGTATATAGGTTATGAGAAAGAAGAAGGTTCCGAAACAGTTTTATCTCCTCTCAGCCATAGCTATCATGATCCTGATCTGCTTTATAAGCATTGCTAAATGTTTATACTAAAAGAGCACCAGTCTTTTATTCTCCTCAATTTTTCTCAATATGTTTACTTTATATGTATTTTTGGCTACACTTCATGGCAATTCTGTGGGTTCTATCTGAAGGTTTCTGCCTTCAGTTCAACTAACCTCCTACTCACTTACCTTTTCTCCTTCCATACTCCTTATGATTGTACTTCTCCCAGTCTTCTTGCCTTGTCTGTACCTGTCTTACAACACACAAGAGCTGTTAAATGTTTGGTACCCACTCAACCAGGGTTTTATTCTTGTCTAATTGTTGTCCCTCATAAGCTATGATATTGGAGAACAGTCTTAGACCTGTACCAGTTGAACTATTATCTGGAGCCATCTCGCTTCACCATGAAGTCCTATCTCTGTCTTTGGGGTTTTTTCCCAGGACTCTTGTTGACCAAATCATCATGACAGATGCTTCGTATTCCTACTGCTTCAGTGTCTCATCGTTTTCTTTTGTTCATCCACGAGGGTCGTGTCTTTCAGTTCTGGGTGCTGTCATTCAGTCCTTTTTTAGGCTCTGTGTGTTTTGACAAGTCACATTCACTAGTTGGGTCTTTGGACTCTACTTTTCATAGACAATTGGCTCCTGCTCTTCCCATGCCAAGTAGGTCTGTCATGCTTGCTAACTTCTTTGGGAAGCTAATTGAGTGGGGTTATTCTCTTCAAGATGAATATTTCCATTCTTACCCTCACTCAATGTCTTCTTCAATTGGGGTTTTTTCTTCAATTTCATCCTCAATGGACCCAGCCTTTTCCACTTCGTCTTGGGGATATTGAGTGGGCAGTCTTAATAGCCATACATTCTCCTTTTTTCACTGCATGAAGGGTTCATGTAGGCTTCCAATAGACCTTCCCTGATTCCCTGGACCATGCCATTACCCTTTCCTTTCAAGACCTACCTTGCTTGGTGGCTTGACAAGGTACTGACCATAGTGGGGGTTCCCATTCCTCCAACTTGTCCAGAGTCTCACCTGTTTCACAATGCTTCCTTGGTGAGTTGGGTTTTTTCCTTTATTCCCAAGAGTTTTCTGGTCAGTGGGCTGTTGAAATGCCTACTTTCCATTTTCAACATTATGGAGCTTTTGGCAATTTGTTGGGCTCTGTATCATTTCCTACCCCTCCTGAGGGGGGTGGGTTATGATTCATTCTATCTATTCCACTGTTCCACTAATTCAGATCTCTGTGTTATTCTTTACTGGGCCCATGACCACTACTTATCAATCTTAGCATGTCATGTTCCCAGCATCATAAATCTGGTGGCTGATCACTTATATTGACCAAACCAGGTATTTTGGTGGGTGTGTTCTCACCTGGTAACACCTCATATAGATGTGATTTGTCACTCACTGAATCACCAAAGTTCCTTCCTTGTTTATGCCATTAATGTTTCCTGCTTCCTTTACCATTCCTTCTTTTTGTCCTATTTCCTTACTTTCCATTTCCCACTTGTACTCCCATTTAGATTCGAATTGACTTCTTTGTCCAGGTCCTTCCCTGGTATGTTTTGTGGCTCATACTGCCTCCTTTCAGGGTTCTCGTTCCCTTGTGTTTATTTGTGGTATCCCTCTGTTTCCTGTGATCTTTCACCTGTTACCCTTATTAGTTAATTTTGTCAACTCATACAATTCTCATATTTTGACTGGTCCATGGAGGATCGCCGTCTGCTCAATGTTTCTTTGTCATTTGCTCCTCCACCTATGCACTGTGGGTTTTAGCTCTGGTTGAGTGGAGGTAAGACTGTTTTGGAAGTTAACATTTTCTTACTCTGAAAATGTATTTCTGATAGGTACTAACCTCCTTTCACCCACTTTCCACCCTTCATCCCCACTGAGGTGCCAGTGTATATGATGTTTAACTGCCAATTCTCAAATGTGAGGTTTGTTCTAGAATAGTAGAAGGAGCTAACTGTGCCAGTATAGATGGTGCAACATGATTGGTGGAGAATGATCACATGATCAGTACATGTTCAAAAGAAAAACGGCATAAATTAAGTAGTATAAAAGACTGGTGTGCTTTTAGTACTTAGTACAAACTTTTAGCAATGCTTATAAGGCAGACCAGGACTGAGATAGCTCTGGGTAAGTACCTATCAGAAATACATTTTCAGTGTCAGTAAATGTTAACTTTGGGACTGTAGGTGATGTACTGGTGAAAGATTTATCAGTATACAAGTTTTTGAGAAAGCTGGAAGTTTGGGACTGTAGGTTATGTACTGGTGAAAGGTTTGTCACTGTGCATGATTTGAGAAGGCTAAAGGTTTGGAAATATGTGGGAATTTTTCAATTCTCAAGTTTGGTTTTTAGGTAGTTTTGCTTTGGTAGAAGTTTGGGGGTTTACAGAATTTATTAAACTCAAGGATTTTGTTTAGGCAGTTTTTTTTTTGTGGAAATTTCTATTAGTATCTAAAATTCATCTAATTGAAAGGTTTTTTTTAACTCTGTCAACACGAGCTCATTCAGTTTGACCAACCACGTTAACTCTTTGTACTTGTTCAAAGTCTTTATAGATTTGATTCTACTAACTAATAGTGAAAGGTGCCACGAAATTTGGCAGTCTTTCAGTCAACATTATAAGTCTATCACATACAAAAAAAATCATATTTTTTTATTAAGTATTTTTAATAAACTAAAAAAAGATTTGTTCTTGAATATATCAAGTAATTGTTTTGAATAGTCCATGTGCAAAGTTATTTTCATGTTAAAATTAAAAATACTTTTCTTCATATCAAAAATCTCAAATTTCATTTGTGTAAACCCTAAGACCCCCTAAGTACATTTCAAATGTTTGTTTTCAGTATACATCTCTTTATAATTAAATGTTATTGTTTTATTACCCTTTGAACCATGTCTAACTACTATTTGCGCCATTATAGGTTGTAAATCAATGTACAGCTTACATTACGCTATTGAATTACCTTACCCATGAGCTACTCCAAGCTGCTTTCATGGATGTTACATGAAATATGTTTATTATATTATTATTTATTTTACCTAATCTAACCTTAACTAACTTAGAGATCCCTATTTTTTACATTTTAGTTACTTTTATAATAATAAATACAAATAAAAAACAAGAAATAAAGTACTTACTCGTGTTCTTTTTTTTTATGCTGTTGACTATCGATGACACTTTATCCTAATATTTTTTATACAAATGGTAATACTGCACTAAATAATTTTTATTCAATTAAATAATGCACCAAAGAACATAGAATAATAACATGCAAAATGCAGACAATTTCATGTTACAATCACAATTTTTCTGGCTTTCTAACTATGCAACAAAGAGCTGTTACAAATTCCAAGCTAGCCATTGTATTATAAGTGAAATTGACAATTATTTGTTCAGAACACAACATAATATTATACATCATTTGATAGATGAAAACCTTGGCTTTCTATTGGTTATAAGTAATATGTAATTAAATGTAAGAGAGAATCATTAACAAATCCTGAAAGGTGGGTGTGGCAGGGGGGGTTCTGATTTTCTGTTTGATAGCTCTGTAACCAAACAAAATTGAAGGCTATAAAAATTATGGTTTGTTTCAGCAATAACAAATTTATAGTGAGTAATCTACTTTTAATTTCATAGTTACTGGAGGGGGTGGTGGATAAAATAGAGAAGAGAATATACCTAGAGAAAATGTGTCACACTAGGGGAATTCAGGATTTTTAAAAATATTGTCTTATATAATTAAGAACTTAATTAAAACTTCTTTACTATTTAAATATGGATTACTAGCTAAGGTTGTATTCTATACCAATTGGTATAACATAAAAATGGCTTAATAACATTTTGAATGTAAGACACTAAAACCTTGTGTCATGCACAGTAAAGGATACCTGTAGCAATATGGTTAATTGGGTTTTGCTTATGAGGAGGTTTTTGTTATACATAGAATTAATTTCATTCAAAGGTTTAATCCCCAACACATGGTGTTTTGATAGAAGGTTTGGAGTTCTTCAGAATTTATTTAATTATAGTTTTTGTTTCCTGTAAATTTTGATTTGGCTAAGGGTTCTTTGGAAGTACTGGTTAACAGAGCATAATAGGTTATACATCAACTATAATATACAAATGTTTATCTTAGGAATTAATGCGAAAGGTTAAGAGCTATTTATCTTTTTACAAAATTTAATGTAACTTGCCAGTCTCATACAACAATAATTCATTAAATAATTAGATCTTAATTGTTCATATTCAGATTGATGTTTAAACCTCTCTGCACATTTCAAGTATAGATGTGGCATCTTCAACAATCGACATTTGAGTTGATATTGATAGAGTGTAAGTATACCTATATTAGCTGAAACTATGATTTTATTCTAACTTGGTAACAAAAATTTTTTAGAATGTAGGTTTCCAAAAAAGTCTTAAGTAATGGAAATTTGAATAACCATGTAAATTTTTTGTTTGTACAGATGCTAATCCTTGTCAAAAAAATGAAAATGGGCATCTACCTGAGGACTATGCAAAAGATAGTGAAATGAAAAACCTTATAAACAGCTTTAAATCTCAGGTAAGTTAGTCTTGTATGAAATATAGTATTAGGAATTATATGTACAGTACACTTTTGGTAACATGTGTAAATAACACTACTTAACTTACATGTACACTACACTATAGATAACCTATGTAGGACACATTACTTAAATTGCTTATACACTACACTGTAGATAACCTATGTATGACTTATTACTTTATGTGATCTATGTATGATGCATTTAATAAATTACATGTACACTAAACTGTAGATATTATTTAAAAATGTAGACAAAACAATGTTTACATTACACAATAAAGTTTAAAAGAAATTAAAAATGACTACATGTTTTGGGAGTTTCCACTACTATCATCTACGTGAACAGTGGGGTTTTGTATAAGAATGGTCTGGCTCACTGTAATTCACCGGGGTGACATGAATATTGCACATATGAAGTCAATATTTCACTCCAAATTTCAGCACTATCACCATTCAACCCCTCATATTTACAACAGATTCCATGATATTAACTCTTGCGCCCCCAGGTACCCTTTACTGTGCATGATACAAACTATTAGTGTCTTACATTCAAAATTTTATTAAATTGTGTTTATGTTATACTAATTAGAATAGCATAAAATCTTAGCTAATAATCCATATTTTAATAGTATGCAAGTTTTAAGTTCCTAATTCTATGAAGCAATATTTAAAAAAATCCTGAATTTCCACTAGTGTGACCCACGTGACACATTTTGTGTTATCATGTCATCATCCCTATTTTATCCACCACCCCCAAAAACGTATGACATTAAACATAAAATACTCTCTATAAAATCGTTATTGCTCAAAAAAACTATAATTTTTATAGCCTTCAATTTTGTTTTGTTACAAGAGTTATCGAATAGAAAATCAGACCCTTCCTGCCACTCTCTCTCTCTTTCACAGTTTGTTGATAGTTCTCTCTTACGTTTTATTATATATTACCTATAACCAATAGAAAGTCAAGGTTTTCATCCATCAAATGACATATTGTATAAGGTTGTATTCTGAACAGAATATTGTCAGTTTCACTTAAAGTACAAGAATCGTGGGAAAGTTAATGACTAGCTTGGATGAATTTGTAACAGCTCTTGTCGCATAGTTAGAAAGCCAGGAAAATTGTGAGAGGTAAGTGAATATGTCTACTTTTTGCATGTTATTAGTCTATATTCTTTGGTGCATTGGTTAATTAAATAAAAATTATTAAGTGCATTACTTTCTAGAGTATATAAAATTAGGGTTAACTCTCGTTGTAAACCCGAGAGCAAGAAAAAAGAAGAGTGGGTAAGTACTTTATTTCTTGTTTTTCATATTTATTATTATAAAAGTAACTAAAATCTAAAAATATGGATCTTTTTAAGTTATTTAAGGTAAAATAAGTAATAATAATAATAATATAATTGAAATAGTTCACGAGGCACGCAAGCAGCTCGTGGGTAATGTAATTCGATAGCGTAACGTGAGCTGCATGTTCCCTGAGTGATTTACAACTTATAATGGCACGGATAGTAGTTAGACACGGTTAAAAGAGCAATAAAATAACAACATTTAATTATAAATAGATGTATAATGTTACGAACTTAGAGCTACTTGATAAACTATTGTAGTTTCACGTTACAATTGAGTGACACGGTCTCTGATGTGGCAGCATAGAAACTGAGTAAGGTTTCAGTAAACAGTTGTAGAAATATTTTCATTATTATTTCTTTTTACAAGTACGACTAAGAAAGATAAACAATTATCTTGTTCAATTGCACATGCAAACTGGATAGCTTTAGAGGAATCAACATTATTTAGGTAATCAGCAAATATTTTTAATTCAGTATCTCCATGCTGCCAAACCTAAGAAGGTGTCATCAACAAGTTTAATCCAACAATTAGATTCTAAAATTGTCTTATCAAGAGCAAATCATTCATAATTGTCCATATAAAGATCACATAAGAGTGGAGTTATTTCTCATTAACTTAGAAAAAAGAATTTTCAACATATATACTGGTTAGATTAATAATGTCAACAATTTCAGCTGGGGAAAAGGAAGCTTGAACTAATCTATCATGAAAACAGTTAATAGCATTTTCTACTGGGTCTTTAGTAAACAAAGAATCTATATCAAATGATACCAATTTATCAGAAGGATTTAGATTAATGTTCTTAATTTTTTTCAACAGATTCAGAGAAATTTCTAATAGTATATTTATTGTTATTACTCAAATACAAAAATCTTTTAGAAAGATACCTTGCAACGTACTGAAATGAGGTACTTATACTAGATACATTAGGTCTGAAACTATTATTTTATTTATGAATCTGAGGTAAAGAGCAAAAATGAAATGAACAAAAATTGGAAGGAATCAGGTTCTTTTGTTCAGGTGACAAAATTATACATTGATCTACATGTTTTTTTTGTTATGTTATGAAATTTTAATGTTGGATCTCTTTTAAGGGGAATATAAGAATCATCATCTAACAACTGATCCACACTGGAAATATAATTAGAATTGTTGTACACCACAGTACACCCTCCTTTATCAGCTTGTGTAACAACAATATTATTGTTATTTTTTAAGGACTGTAAAGCTAATTTTTCTTCTTTTTTGTCAAATTACTATTCATTTTAACATTTTGTTTCCACAATATATCTGGATATTGATATCTGATAATAGTTTTTATTTTACTATCTTTAATTTGTTTAATGTTATATTCAATATTAATTACCACATCTTTAATGTGTATAATCTTTGGAGCTACAGCAAAATTTAAGCCTAAACTTAGTACATTAATTTGCATATCTGTAATGTTGACTTCAGATTTATGAATAACTTTGGGGTTAGATAGCTGTAGTACTTCAGAAGTATCATTTTTCTTAGGTTTATATAAAGATTTAAACTTAATATTTTTTATTATATTGTTCATTTTCTTTTTTAATTGTACTCCAACAGTAATTTTCATACTGTTGAAATCTTTGTCAAATTTAGGATCTTCTTAATATACTGGATGTGACTTCTATAAACAGAAGCTTTTAGTTTGGAGATGTCCCTTTATCTTGATCATATTTAATAGTTTTAATTTAGTATTTTTCAGAAGATACATTATGTGCCTTCCGTTTTGATTACACGTGACCTTGATAAATTTTGGTATTACCAAATTGTTTTTTGCAGTTAATTAAAATTTTCAGTTTGGTTAACTCACGTCGTAACTTAGTTCGCTGTCGTAGAAGATCTTTAAATTCAAAATCTTCTCTAATATAGTGGAGATGATATCTATAAACAGTAGCTTGTTTGGAGATTTCACTTCTTTTATCTTGATCTTTAATAGTACTTACATTGCAACTTACTGTGCTGTTGTAGGTAGATGTTTTGACGTAATCCCCGATATTAGGGTTATAACTTACTCCACTGTCGTAGCAGATGTTTCGCCTAAATCCCCATTGAAATTTTCAAATTCAAGACATTCTCTAATATACTGGAAATGACTTTTATAAACAGTAGCTTATTTTGAGATTTCACTTCTTTTTCTCCTTTAACTGGATCTTTAATAGTTTTATTTGTATGTGACCTTGATGAATTTTAGGTATTACCAGATTGTTGCTGCAGGAAATTTCAGTTGGGATAACTTATGTTATTTTGTAATGTAAATATTGTTATTTTTAAATAAAGTTTATTGCACAATGTTGCCCTATTTATATTTTATATTTTACAAAGCCTAATGACAGATTTTGACAAAACATCTACCTATGACAGTGGAGTAAGTTGCAATGTAAGTAAACATTTACCTTAAAAAACTTTGTTATTCTTTTAGGAGATTCAGGAGATTATGCAAATGAAATGTGAAAAACTATACGATGAACAAAAGTATTTTTATACTTAAAATGAAAATCACTTTGCACTCTATTTGTCAATAGTTTGAATACAAGTGACTATAATGGCAAAATAACACTTAAAAGCACTTAATTATAATAATGTCATTCTTTGTGTACAAAATACATATGATCTTTAACAAAATCTTACCAATTTTTCAGAGGATACGTAAAGAGGTGTCAGAGTTACCGCATGTATTGTTGTACAAGTGAAATTCGCAACTCGATTTCTGTAAATTGCATGAACCCGATGCAAAAGAGTTAAATTACATGTACATTACGCTGTAGGTAATCTATGTATAATTTATTACTTAAATTACATGTACACTACACTGCAAGTAATCTATAAATGATTTATTTCTTAAATTACAAGTACACTACACTGTAGGTAACCTATAAATGATTTATTTCTTAAATTACAAGTACACTACACTGTAGGTAACTTATAAATGATTTATTACTTAAATTACATGTCCTTTACACTGTAGATAACCTATATATGATGAATTACATAAATTCCATATACTCTACACTGTAAATATCTCATGTAATACTTAAATATATTCTGTGAATAATTTTCGTAGATAGTACACTAATTATTACAAAGTGAAATTATGTTAGTTCTAAGTCATTTTTTTAGTACATAGTATGATATTATTATTTTCTTGCTACCTTAATGTTGTAGTTTCTGGAAAAACAGAGAAGAAAAGAAGCTGAAGAACGGCGCCGGTTTCCTCTAGAAGCAAGAATTAAGAAACACATTGTAGGCCAAGATGGTGCTCTTACTACAGTGGCTTCAGGTATTTGTAGAAAAAAGATCTAAGTGAAATCTTGTAGGTTTGTAAATGGAAAATCAAATAAAAGTGTATAAAACTTGGTATCACTTTGTCTTTTTTCTTTGGTCCATTAGAGAGTTTTAGTCTGCTCCAGCTATACTTTTATGTGGCTATTTACACGAGTGTTTTTCACAGTAATGATAAATTGGTGGGTGAATGTTTCTCCATTGCCTTCAAATTGCTGTTATATTAGATGTTTTTATTCTGAGGATTGTTTTCAATTTATAAGACTGCAAATGTTTTCCATTTGAATCATTACATTCTTATTATTTTAACATTAGAAAAGCATTTTTAGCTACCCGTTTTATTGTGAATTCTCATGTTCTTACACAACAGTTTGCATAAAGTTTAGTTTGTTTTATTGTGAATTGTGTAGTATAGAGCTATACAATGTTCAAATCGTGTCTCAAAATAATGTTACACCAGCATTGTTACACTACATATTACTTAGTTTAGTTTGTTTTATTGTGAATCATTGTGTAGTATAGAGCTATACAATGTTCAAATCGTGTCTCAAAATAATGTTACACCAGCACTGTTACACTACATATTACTTAGTTTAGTTTGCTTTATTGTGAACCATCAAATGTTAAACTAATACTGTTACCCTAAAGTTTATTTAAAATTTAGTTTGCTTTATTGTGAACCTTCATGAGGTATAGAGCCATGCAGTTTTGAATTGTGTGTATTGAAGTGACTGTCTATCCTTATAGTGTTATTTGAATGTTAAAGCAGACCTTTGAAAGAGCACCTTTCTAAATTCCAGTTGAATAGATAAGATATGTAACTTATGGTTAGTACTCTAATGACTAAAAAGACTAATATTAATGGTATTTTTTTAAGATGATGATATATTGTCTACATACTGCTAGGAAAGAAAATAAACTATAAGTTTTAATTAATATTGTGCAAACCATTTACAAAGAACATAATAACGTTTGGACAGATTTTATAGTTTCTTGCTAAGCATTATACTTTGTTTTGAACTGTCTGTGGAAGTTAATATTGACTAACATGTACTTCTTTTAAGCAATAAGAAGAAAAGAAAATGGCTGGTACAATGAAGACCGACCTCTTGTTTTGCTATTTCTGGGATCTTCTGGAGTTGGTAAAGAAAACATGATATTCTTTTACTTTACAAAATTTATAAATAACAATGTATTCTGCATTTTCCTTCACTCACCCATGAGCCTGTATTTATACAAATATTTAGGTAATGCTAGTGATCATTTAAAAAAGGCACTTGTTGCTGACATGAATGCAATGCCTCACAGTAATCAACATGTTGTTGGCAATTCTCTGCAGACAGGTCGTATGGGATCCATTTTCCAACCTTTGGCACTTTTCCAAGCCTTTTCAATTAGTGATGGGTGGTCGTATGGCTAACATTGAATTGTTTGCTAAGATCCCTAACTGTAGACAGGGTTGTTACTGGGGATGAGAAATGGATCCTTTATCATAATGTTAAGCACCGTCGTCAGTGGCTTAGTCTTGGTGATAGACCTGCCCAGCAGTTATGAGGGGACTTGCATCCAAGGAAGATCATGTTGGGTGCATGGTGGGATATGCAAGGAATTGTCCATTATGAACTGTTAAACAATAAGCAGACAATCACAGCAGAGGTTTACTGCCAACAACTGCGACATTTGAAAACAGCTTTGGACAAAAAACACCCGTCCTTAGCAAACAGAAAAGGGGGCATTTTTCACCACGATAATGCACGTCCCCATACCGCATGAGTAACCAAGAATCTCCTAGAGGAAGTTGGCTGGGAAAAATTGCTTCACCCACCATATTCTCCTGACCTTGCTCCTTCTGACTATCATTTGTTTAGGAGTTTACAAAATAATTTGGATGGACTTAAACTAACTTCAAGAGAGGAGGTCAGAAATGAGTGGATCTCTTATTTTGGGTCAAAACTTAAGGAATTTTATAAACGTGGCATCCAAAAACTTGTTGACAGAAGGAACAGAGTTATCAAAAGCAATGGAGAATATATTGAATATATTTGTTTGGCTAAATTCGTTTGAAAATTGGACAGAACTTTTGTTACAACCTGATATACGCTTATGAAAAGGATCCTTAAATTCATTGTTATTGCAATTACAAGGTATTTTCTCAATTTCTATTTTACTAAAATCTTCAATATTTTTTGTAATTGAAGATAA